CTATGTTTCGATGTTTACTAGACGTGTCTATGTTTCGATGTTTACTAGACGTGTCTATGTTTCGATGTTTACTAGACGTGTCTATGTTTCGATGTTTACTAGACGTGTCTATGTTTCGATGTTTACTAGACGTGTCTATGTTTCGATGTTTACTAGGCGTGTCTATGTTTCGATGTTTACTAGGCGTGTCTATGTTTCGATTTTTACTAAACGTGTAAATCCTATACATTAAATTCGTTCTTGTTCGTGGCTGGCAAAATCTTCGGACGGCTAATTGACCCACTTCCCGAGCTAAAACTTGGGACAAAGGCAAGAATCTAGTCCGTTTAATTCCACTCCTGTATTATCATTTTAGCTCATGCCTATTGTAGAAATGGCTCAACAATAATTGATCAAGCCATCAAAAATTGACCAAATGTTTATTGGAGAGCTTTGGGTAATGGAGAGGTTTGGGTAATGGAGAGCTTTGGGTAATGGAGAGCTTTGGGTAATGTTACTATCATTGCAAATTAGAAAGACTGTCGCAATAACAACGCACTCTCTTGATGATTATTCTCGCTCAGCGTTGAATCGTGGTCAAAACGGTGTTTTTGTGACCTAATTAATGGGCCCCCCTCAATTCTGACGCATCAACCTTGAACTATTAAATAAAACACGCATTTGGATTGGTCATATTTGTTTGAAATATGCGTGTTATCCTAAAATGAAATTGGGTCAGACCGAGCAGTGTGTGCTCTGTAAATATGCAATTTTTTCCATTTGGTGTCAACCCCTGAGATGGTGTCACCCGGGGTGGGTCCGCATATCCCTCACCCCCTAGCTATGACACTGGTGTAACCAACCCCCAGGCCAATAAACAACATCTAACCTTAAACCCACATTTCTATGGAGTGTAACCAAACTACAACGTCTGTGAATGATCAGCCCATATAAGGAGCGCACTAATAGATAAAAGGCACTATTGAGATTTCTTTTTGTTGTTGTTGTTGCCTGCATATGTTTGTTTTGGGAAGGGGGCCTTGGGTGCGTCCAGTCACTTTTTTTTACCCAGAGACTCGACCCCTGGTTGGCCACGAGTATCAAAGTTGGTCCAATACTAATTCAACATAAACCTTAAAATTTGAAATTTTTTCTTTAAAAATGAACGTGGAAAGATTTCTAGGGTGCTTGAGTACAAATGTGTGTGTAACCATAGCAGTGCATCGTAGACGTGAATGAAGAACAATTCATCATAGAGTGACCTTTTCAAAGTTCAAGGGTTACAAAGGCCAAGTGAACGAA